TTGAGAATTTCTTTTGAGGATTTTTGCATCTGTGTTTAAGAGAGATATTGGTCTGTGATTTTCTTTTGTTGCAATGTCTTTGGTTTCGATATTAGGGTAATGCTGGCTTCATAGAGCGAGTTAGGAAGTATTTCCTCTGATTCTATCCTCTGAAAGTGATTGCAGAGGATTGGTGTAATTTCTTCTTTACATGCTTGGTAGAATTCACCTATAAACTCACCAGGGGCTTTCTGTTTGGAAAGGTTATTAATTGCTGATTCAATTTCTTTAATAGATAAAGGGCTATTAATTACAACAGATTGTCTGTTTTTTCCTGTATGATTTTGGCAAACTGTGACTTTCAGGGAATTGGTCAATTTCATCTAAATTATCAAAACTGTGAGCACAGAGTTGTGCCTAGTATTCCTTTATTATACTTTCAATGTCCATAGACTCTGAAATGATGTCCCTTCTTTCATACCTGGTGTTAGTAATTTGTGTGCACTTTCTTATTTCAGTTAGTTTTTCCTGGTTAAAGTCTTACTGGTTTTATCGATTTTTTCTAAGAACCAGCTTTTAGTTTCATTGATTTTCCTTTTTTTTTTTCCCATTGGTTTTCACTCTTGATTTTCTGTTTTCAATTTCATTGATTTATGTTCTAGTGCTTATTAATTTTCTTCTGTTTATTTTGAATTTAATTTGTTCTTCTTGTTCTAGTTTCCTAAGGTAAACTTAGATTATGCATTTTAGGTCTTTCCCAATATATACATTCAATGCTATAAATTTCCTTCTAAACACTGTTTTCTCTGAATCCCCCAAGACTTGATAAGCTGTGTTTTCATTCTATTAGCTCAAAATATTTAAAAATTTCTCTTGATATTTCTTCTTCACCTATTTTTATTTAAAATTATATTCTTTAATATCCACATCTTTTATTAGTATTTATTTTACTTCCAAGATTTCTTATTCATTTCTTTTTCATATTGTGTGCTGCTGAATGATAACCCCTTATTTTTCTTTTATTTCCAGCTTTTAAATTATATTAGAACCCATGCAGAATGATCTTAAGTCCATAATCTTAACTTTCCTTTCAAAAAATTGCTGTTCAAGTTAACCAACTTTTCTGTGTGTCACTTTCCTCATCTGTACAATTGGGATATTAACATTTTTCTCCTTTAAGTTAAATTAAGTTGAAATAAATTACATCATGTTGAATACTTAGTTTAATGTCTGCTTTACAGCAAGTGCTCACCAATATTTATACTAGTAGTACTGCTATTAAAGTACTATAAAAACTCCTGGTGGTACTATTATAGCTGACAGTGGTACTTACTGTGTTGATAAAAGTATGAAGTAATAAAAAATGCTATAATACAAAAATATCATATTGTAATGTTAACAATTAAACTATAAGGCTCAATCAAAAACTAAAGATTGAATGAGGGAATGAGAGAGAGGAAGAGAGGATGGAAATTTAAGAAAAGAATTAGAAGGAAAAATTTTCAGATTATAAATACAGCGTAATCATTGAGAAGATACTCAGACCATTTACCCAAGTATGTTGCATGGACTTGTTTAGTAGTTTTCCTAGGTCATATAGGTAAGTGTACTGGTTAACAATTTAAGGAATGTGGTCTTGAGTACATTATTGCCACTCCTTGAATCTCAGTTTCATGCACTGCTAAAAATCCAGTTTGTATAATTACCAGGTTACTTACTTCACAAAGCTATAAAGATTAATTTTAACCATATGGAGAAACCTTCTAACACAATGTCTAATAAAAGAAAAAATTCACCATTATTTCCCCTCATAGTCCTCTCATTCTCCCCTAGCTGGCTCTGCACATATGCCAAAGTTTAGGACAATTGATCACTTTATAATAAAAATGTGTATGTGCTCACAATTTAAAAAATAATGCTTGCCTTCTTCTAACTCTTAAGGCATAGTCTGATCACTTTGATTTAATTCCCTCACATCAACAATGTGTATTGAATCCCAACTGTGCACCAGGAGATATGTATGTTACTATTATTACAAAGTAAATAAAATGATCTTTACTTATTATGTGGGCAGAGGCAGCAGGAACTGCAAATCAACATTCAAATAGTGATAAATGCTATAATCAAATATAGATGAAGCATCATTAAATCACTTTGAAAGTTTCCAGAATGTGCCAGAACAGCCTGGAGGCCATGAAGTTTCTTCCTTCTGTGAGTTACCATATTGGGCCCAAACACATAAACATGTGTATCTGGTTACACCCACTTTTGAAGATAGTTAATTTTTTTATTTCTCTGATATATACAAAAGGTGGCTAATGCATTACCCCAAATCTATTGTTTATACTCCCAGATATAAAGGGACACAAAAGTCTTTTTGATCAAGGAATTCAGAGGCATAGGGATATGGTCAAAACTGTACTACAAACACATGATCAATTCCAGTCCTAGTTCTGTTGATAACCTGCCGTGCATAGATCTGCCGTGGCCTGATATTCTTAATTCACAACATAGAAAACCCTCTCTCCCTAACTCAGGTTTTTATCTTGCCTTCATATGACAGTGAATATGAAAGTTCTTTGAAAAAGCACAAAATATACTAATATTTTAAAATCAGGCAATCTGAGCCATTACTTTCTGCTGTCTTCCCCATCTCTTCTTGGTTATTGCTCCAGATTTTCCATCTGGTGACTTTTTATCATTTCTCTCTCTCTTGATTCTCTATAATGTCCTCTGTGTTTTTTTTTTTTTTTTTGAGACGTCATTCTTCTGGTTTCCTTTAGTTCTTTGTCTAAGATTTCATTTAGCTCTGTGAGTATATGTAAAATATTTGTCTTAAAAGGGCTGAAAAATATAGAATACATAGGAATGAAATCTTAAAAAAATGAGTTTAAAAATAGACATATTCATGAATTGGGAGACTTAAAGTTGACTACATTTCAGACCTCATGCAGTCACAGTTGAAACCCAAGTAAGGCTTTTTAGGGTGAATCTTGACGTGGTTACTGTAAGTTTACATGGAATTACAGAACTGGTGAGTAGACAAAGTAATTATGGAAAAGAAGAACAAAGTAGGAACATGAAAATTATCTCACTTCATGGCTCACTATAACATATAATATTCAAGACATATGGCGTTAGGGGAAAGATCTGTTCCATGAATCAGTGGAGCAGATTCTAGCATCCAGAAGTGACCCACAGATATATAATCAACTGGTTTTTGTGAAAGATGAAAAGGAAAGTGAACAGAGAAAATACATTCTTTTCAACAAATTTTGCTGCAATGGTTGTCAGTCCTCATGCAAAACAAAACAAGAACAAAATGCTAAATATAAACTGAAATCATATGCTTCTTCATAATGTCCCCCATTTCCCTTTATGCAAATGTCTTAAAAAGTTTTATTAAGGTTCAGAATTGCCAAACTGAAAGCAACCAGATGCCCTTCCAAGAGTGAATGATTAAACAATGTAGTATATCGTTATATTGGAAGACTTATTGGTGATAAAATAGGATATTATTGATTCATGCAACAATATGAATGAGTCTAAAGTGGGTTTTATAATGAAAGAACCAAGATCTAAAGGTTCTATATTGTATGATTCCTTTCATATAACACAGGTCTGGAAAAAACTCAGTGATTTCCAAGAGTTGAGGTGGGGAGTGAGGACTGATTTTCTATAAAAGAGATGGAAAGGGAAATTTTTAGATAATACAACTATTCTTCATGGTATTGAGCTGGTGAACAAATAACTATACATTTGCTAAAACCCACAGAACTATACATAGCAAAGAGTGAAATTTAATATATCCAAATCAAAAAGAATCAGCCAGGAGCACTGGAGAATCTCAGGAGTGAACACAGACTCTTAAAAACAAATTAATTGTACTGCAAATGAGTTAACCTCACTCAAGGGAGATAGGGAAAAAATAAGCTGACCTAAGTAATGTTGGAAAATTGTGTATTGACAGGGAACTGCAAGGCTGCAAAAGTACTACACTTCAGTTGCTAAAGTTGTTTCTCATGGGCGTATAGATTAACAATGTTCAAACTGCTTTACTTGTAAACTGGAACCACACAAATAAATTAACTAATGGAAATTGTTGAGACCCAAGTTTCACACTGTCAGAGATGGAAGTTATAGATAAGAAAGGGGAAACATTGGGTTGAAACAGATTAAAGTCAAGGACATCAGTAGGCACTCATGTTTAACTTAAAATAGGTATGATGGATAGTTAGAGAAATAAGAGTAATTCTGAATATATATACAGACTACATAGATATATACTTTCTACCTTTATAGACCAGAGGGTCTAGAAGTGAAACTTCAATACTAGCAAGCACATTCAGCCTCCAAATCTGGGATTTTGAATACATTCTCTTCCTCCATTTTTCCTATACACTGGCTATATTATCCTTTGAAAATTGTAATATGAGCACGTTGGTTCTATAAAATGATTCAGTCAAGACAGAAATATTAATTCAAGATGCTTTATTTATCTCTTGGTAAAATGTGCTCCCCTAAAGCAATTTTTTCATTAATAGTATATCATTTTATTCTCAAATTAGGACTCTTAGAATAGCATTCAACTAAAGAAATAAAAAAATATTAGACATAAATTTATATTCTAATGCATGAATTAAATATCTTAATTATTATTGTTAAAACATAAGAACACTCCATTTAATTATGTCAAATCGCTCATTTCAATGTAGGTATCCTCATGGGCACATGCGCTTTGTATGTGGTCTCATTTGTGCCCTTATTTTATGTGTATTTGCAATGATGTGGGAGAAAAAAAGCATGCAAAATAAGTGAATAAACCAATATCCTTAAGAAAATTTTAGATTGGCAGGCGCCAAGACGCCTGAGCCATTTCTGTTCAGGTACTGTGTTTCTGGACATAGTGTTTCCTTTTTTCAGAACAAGAGACTTTTTATTCATAAGGATATCACTTCAGGAACTTAATTTTACTATAGCCTTGATGAAACTAGATTACTGCACATTGTACAATGTTGAAATCATAATCCTAATAAAAACAATTTCGCTTCTAAAACAACCTTTATAAATGCTCTCTTGACTTCCTTGTTCCTCAAGCTATAAACCACAGGGTTCAGCATGGGGATGATCATAGCATAGAACACGGATGCCGTCTTGTCTGTGTCCATGGAATGGCTAGAGCTGGGCTGTAAGTACATGAAGATAATAGTTCCATAGAAGATGG